CCTGCTACCTGCATGTGCTAATCCATCCTTCACCCATATTCTTTGTCTTTATAACTGTTATTTTTATTATAATAACAATTAACAGCTGTTTCGTTTGCAGGATCGCTCATTTCTTGTTTCACATTTCACGTGTGTTTTCTTGATAAAACGTGGTTTGGAGACCAGCGTCAGGTGACAGCTGCTTTCAGCTCCTGTAGTGTGTGTGTGTGTGTGTGTGTGTGTGTGTGTGTGTGTGTGTGTGTCCGTCCCTGTCACCGATCAGTCACGTAGTGTGAACACCACAACGACTTCAAGACTGCCGTGATGATGGCAGGTTGTGTGAACTGCACAGCCATCGGCCGACGCTTAAAGTTGTGTAGTCTGCACGAGCCTTTAGTATAACTGGTATAGCACTGGAGTGATGTTTGTGTTTATAAAGCGGCTGTCTAGTAGTTGGTCTGATGTTTGCTGTATGACACAGTATGAATTTACAAAAGGACTAATAAATATCCATCACCTATAAATGTGCACAGCTGATCCCGTTACGGGGAGGGGCGGCCAAGCAAGAGTACTTCTTAAACGACACATGGATGAATCATTGAAATAATCTATCGAAGCTTCGAATACTAAAATCATCGTTAGCTGCAGCCCTACTGGGGACTGCATTTCATTGTAGGTGTATGTTATCATACAGGCAGTCCAGGTGGCTGATATTCACTCTGTGAATGTTGTGGGGGTAGAAGTCTCTCCTGTGCAGCAGCGTAGATATGACTATCTTGCTGGTATGGAAATTTGTGGAGGTTTGTTCAATGACTCTCCTCAGAAAGTCCACCAGTCTGTCCTGTTGGGACCTTAAGTCATTGGTGCCTGTATGAATGATGATGTGGCTAGGTGAGCCTAGTTCAGGCACTGTTAACAGCTCCAGGGCTCTCCTGGTGTTGGGGCACCAGATCTTCTCCGTTCTGTGCCTTGGGAATAAGGTCTTTTCATCCAGGAACTTTCCATTAGAGTCCATGAGAAGGATACAAGGAGAAGGAGAAGGAACTACTCAAGGCTGTGTTGTCCTTCAGCAGGTGTAGTGGGAGTTTGGCTGGATGTGGTCTGGATCTGAGAGGTGCCCCAATTTGTGTAATAACACATGATTGGAGGTGTCTGGCATGTGTGCTACTTGACACAGTCTGACAGAGAGCTTGCACCCCAGGAACTGGAATTTCCTGCCATACATCATCTGGTGCTATCATGTGGACGCCAGGACAGTGCACTCCATCTAGACCCAAAAGGTTCAGAAGATTGAAAGTAGGTTTTGTCAGATGGATGTGCACATCCAGTTCTGCCAAACTGGCATTTGTCAAGTGACAGTTTCAGGCCTTCTTCTGTAAGTCTGTCAAGGACTTTGAGCAGCCGCTCCTCGTGTTCCTCGACTGTTCGCCCAAACACTATCAGGTCATCCAGATGCACACTAAAACTTCCAGAAAGTTCATGTCGCCAACAGTTTTCTCCATAACTCTCTGGAAAGTGGCAGGTGCCCCTGAAATCCATTGAGGCATGCATTCAAATTGATAAAAGCCCAAAGTACAGATAAAAGCAGTGTTCTCCTTATCTACCTCGCTCATGGGTATCTGATAGTACCCGCTCCTCAGGTCGAGGACAGTGAACCATTTGCTCCCAGATAAGCAATGAAGTGCATCCTTTATTCTGGGGATGGTGTACTGGTCTGGTATTGTTCTGAGGTTGAGTGTTCTGTAGTCCACACACATTCGTACCTTTCCTGATTTCTTACGTACAACCACTATGGGTGAGGGGTAGGGGCTACGTGACTCAGAGATGATGCCATGGGTTTTTAATTCCTCCAAGTGTTGCCGTACATCATCAAAGTCAGCCTTTCTCTGAAAGGCCTTGCATCCTTCAATCTGATTTCATGTCTGGTGCTTTTAGAACCACCTATGTCCCACTCACGGTGGGAGAAACATCTTCCCTCTCCATCATTTTCTCACACAGACTTCTTTTAGTGCCATAAGCTTCTGAATCACTTTTCTCAGGTCCTCGGGTCCCTGGCACTCTGTCCATCTTGTCCACACTGGTAGCAAAAGATTCCAGGAGGCGTTGATCTGGGAGCTCTCCCTCTGGCTAATGTGTCTAGAGTGGTGGCTTCTGATGCTGGCTGTTTGGACCCATTTTTGGCTGTCATATTGCCAGGCTTTGTGGCAACTGGTGCGGCGTTCAACAGTCTAGCCACCTGTGAAGAAAGTGCCTTTACCTCATTTTTAGGTTGTCGAGCTCTTATGTGACTAGTGACTGGAGACTGAGGTACAGTAGTGGTGACGGCTGTAGCAGCAGTTTTCACCCCTTCTCTGGCATTAATCCAACTTTCTTCCTCTCTTATGTTGCCCATCAGCTGGGAAAAATATGGAGGATTTGCGAGGGTGTGTCTCATTCTCACACGTAGTGCAACCATGTCCCTTCAGAAGAGCATGATGGAGTAGTTTGTCAAGGCGATATAGAACAGAAGAGAGGTTTTCTCCTGCATTCTGATAGGGGTGACTGAACTTGGCCAAAATGTCTGCTCCACTCTCTGTAGTGCCATAAGCTGTTCAGTGTCTGTGGCAGTGTGAGTGCTGGCTTTCTAAAATCTGACAATGTCAGCAGCAGGCCCTCTTAAACTCTTAAACACTGCTACTCTCATCCACGCTCTTGTCACTTCCTGTATTGATTACTTAACTCCCTTTTCTCTGGTCTATCTCACAAGTTAATTCATAAACTCCAACTGGTCCAAAACTCTGCTGCCCGTACTATCACCAGAGCCCCAGTCTCTGAAAACATTACTCCACTTCTAAAACAACTGCACTGGCTTCCTTTTAAATACCATTTTGATTTTAAAGTTCTTCTTCTCACCTTCAAAGCACTCTATAATCTTGCTCCTCCTTATCACTCTCTGAAGTCCTTCAGCCCTACACCCCATCCCGAACTCTCTGATCCTCTTCTTCCTCAATACTTTCCATTCCTTCAGCCCGCATGTCCACAATGGGTTCAGAGCCTTCAGCTATTGTGCATCTCACCTTTGGAACTCCCTCCCTCTATTCATCCATACAACAGAGTCCCTATCCTCCTTTAAATTTGCTCAAAACGAAAGGCCTACCACACATAATTCCACCTTCCACCGGCTTCATGGTGAACTGCTTTTTATATATAATTGTTTTTCTTAATCTTTAAATTGTTTCATGTTTTGATTTTCTTTATTGTACTGCCTCCTTGAAATGTATTTTAACTGTTTTAATCTGTAAGGTGTCCTTGAGTGCTATGAAAGGCGCCCACAATTAAAATGTATTATTTTTATTATTATTATTATTATTACTCTAGAAGGACATAGCTCCTAAACTAAACTTTTTTTCCCAGAAAACACTAAATACAACTTTGAAAGATCACCATCTTTTCTACAGCTCAAAGCTCAAATGGAGTCTGTAGCTGCACATATGCCGGAGCATTTAGCTCTTAAAGTTGAGTAGGTTGGAAGAAAGTTGAGCCTCTGCTCCCATAGCAACCCATTCATTTTAAAATGAAAATATTAATATAAAATCAACCATTACAGATATCAGCAATAAAGCATACATCTCCTGAACAGGATGTACATTTTCAAGTTTCTAGGACAAACAGTGCAGGAGAACATAGATACCGCAGACATTTGGAATAAATAAATAAAACTGTAATAATAAAGAGCGAAGACAACAAAAGTGTGAGAGCCACGGCTCTCACACTAATAACTAAAACACATACGGTTTGAACCCCAATAAGTTTGCAGAACATCCAATCTAGAACATTATCGGAGATGAAAAGCATACAGTACAAATTCATTTAACAGTTGGATGCAATAACATTGTTTACTCTGGAATGATGGTTTTTAATGATTAAAAAGCACAGGATAAAAAAGATCCTCATCTACTAAATGTATAGCATTTGATAGTCATTTTAAGCCATCTGGATACATAGACATGGAGGGGATTCTGTTTGGAAAATATTTATTAGATACTTTATCACACCTAAGATTAAGAGTAATTACTCAAACATAAACCTTCTATGCTGACGAGAATGTGGAGCATTGGAAGCAGACCACACACATGTCAAAGAATTATAGCATTTACACAAAAGATATTGGGATATGATCTTCCTATGGCTTACTTGATTCTACCTTTCAGTAATTTTACCATGAGAAATGTCCAAATGAAGGATAGCCAATTTGCTCAAAATGATGTTAATTGCTAGCAAAGAAGCTATTACCAAGAAATGGTGGAAGGTGGATCCTGTCAGATATACTAGAGGACATCTACATAATGGAAAAACTGACATCGTTTGAGACCACAAGAAACACAACTGTCTGAAAAATGGCAGAATGGGAACATTATTCAAGATAAGAACTGTTAAAATAGATTGACTAATAAAAACAACTCCCAACTGCATTATTTCCTTTATTTATCTTTTGTTTTGTAGTTTTTTTCATGTGTAGATGTACTATCTTCTGCGATGGACTGGCGACCTGTCCAGGGTGTACCCCGCCTTTCGCCCGATGTAAGCTGGGATTGGCTCCAGCCCCCCGCAACCCCGTACGCAGGATAAGTGGTTGACAATGGATGGATGGTTGAATGGAGATGTACTATCTTTTTAACTTGACTGAGAACATGTACAGTTTATCAGACTTTTTTTATGTGGATATGAAACTATATTATCATCTTGTAACCGCTATTTACATTCTTACAGATGCAAATTCATAAAATGCACTGCACAAATTTCCTGGTTATATATGTGTATGTATATAAATAACTGTATGGGTTTACTGTATATTGCACTGTTATAAATCTGAATATTTTTGTGTGAGCACTTTCTGTGTTTTGTCCGTATGCAACATTTTGACATGAATCCTACAAGAAAAATAAGGCCCCTGGTTTCATCCCCTGACCATTATAGCACACACCATAACAGAACAGCCAACCATGTTTTAACATTTGACGGAACAAGAGTTTTATCCATACCGATGTGTTATGTCAAGGTCTCCGTCCTCATCCAAGAATGATTCCAGACTTCCCTCCACACCTTCCTGTCCATCTTTTCCTTCTGTGTCTTTTCCCTCGTCTTCCCTTGGGTCATCATATTTCTCTGCCTCATGTATACCTTTCTCTGGGTCACTGTTGTCCAGACTTTCACCATGTGAGAAGATCTTGAATTTGGAGATGAAGACTAGATGGATGAATACGGCAACGTTAGAAAGTGAGTAGAAATATATAACACAAAGTGCATTCTGACTTAGCAGCTTTAATTAAGTAAAAAATGGCAAACAATAGTTAAGCTTTTTTGGGGGGGTTCTTAGGCAGAATTAAAAATACCTTAAAAAATCTCAATGATTTTTTAACAAATCTTAATTACAAACTCAGAACAGTTGTTATTTAAGTTACTTTAACATATGTGAATACTTTTGGCAAATAAAAAGTGAAATAGTTAAAATCAATCGTTTTATATGCGAGTTTGCCAACATCTCTCTCTCTCTCTCTCTCTCTCTCTCTCTCTCTCTCTCTCTCTCTCTCATATATATATATATATATATATATATATATATATATATATATATATATATATATATGTCCACTCAGTGACAGGTACGTATTCCCAAATTACTACAAACTCATAAGAAACCAGAAATCACACTTCACACACTAGATCAGATTCTGAAACTGGAAGTCTGATCTTACATTTACTACTTTTACTCCCACCAGCAGTCTTTATGCTCTGACCTTGCTCATTTACACAAGTGACTAGATCATGTCAGTCCAAGACAGGCTCAAGTCAAATATTTACAATTCACTACTGGCAGTCACTCTGCTATGGCCTGCCTGAAGCAGCCTCTTCCTAACCAGTTTTAAATATTCAGTAAATATCAGATAATTGTTAGGGATTAAGTTTTTTTGCCCCCAAATCCTGATCAGAGCACTTTCATATTGGGTAACTGCTGATACTAAATGTTTAAAAATATGTTTGACACACTAAAAAAAAACAGGTGTAACTTACTAAATACTTACTAACTACACCTTATTTTTCACAAGCTTCTTGATCTGGTGGTCTTTGTTTGAAACTACAGCTACAACAATTATTTTCTTTATAACTTAACACTGAACAATGTCCATTCCAGTTTCACATATTCAAATGTCTTGTTTTGCCTGACCAATATATTCAGTTGTCAAGGTGACACAAATTACTGACATATCAATTAAAGTTGGAAGAATGCATCTCTGAAAATGATGACACAATCAGCTGACTGGTCTGGCTCCTCTTTTTGCCTGTGGTTTTAGTATTAAGATGTGTTGTTTATATTATGATTTTAATGCCTAAATTCAACCTTTTCTTTTACATGATTTCACTTCATGATTTCTTTCATACCCATATAACACATTAGACAACACTTAGTAGCCTAGTACAAAGTCTTAAATAACTGTAACTGTAATCATACACACCAGGCTGTCCAACACTGTTGAGGCGTATCATAAGGTGGCGGGCATTGGGCAGGAGCATGTGAACATCTGACAGGACAGTATCATGATGAAAGGTGATCTGGTCCATGGTTGCTCATTGGAACAGTAGAGCAGCCTGGCCTGGTCATCTGCTTCCCAATTACCTGGGGAGAGTGGGTGAGCACAGTTTGAGACAGTTACAACATACAGCTTATTTTCAATTCTATGTGAAACAGGCATAGCAGGCTTGGTTGAGTTAGTTTTGTATCAAAAATATGATTTTGATACTCTTTTGGAGGAAACTGTAAGTGTCTGCACAGAAAGTGGTAGCCCAGAGTTATGCCCAGAGTTTTGCTTTGCTTTGCTTTACAGTTCATAGTGGACAGTAGATCTAACAGTAATGTTGAAATTCTGGAACATCAGGAAAGTGCATGCAAAACTTTTAGGATAGCTTTTGAAATTAGCTCCCACTGTGAACTTTTTGCAGCCAGGGAGTTCATATCGGTAAGGTTATTAGTTTAAAATCTTAATTTTAGGAAGGTGTATTACACCAAAGTAATTTTTATCATGTTAACATCTGTCTGTTGTGCCGAATTCTGACTGTCTGCCTGCCGAGAATTGCATGCACCTCGCGGGTGATATACGGTTGTTGAGAAAAGAGGTGGATGCCAATCTCGGCAGGTAACGTTAGCCTAAAAAATCTGTTTTGCCGAATTATGCTTCCACCTCTTTAGGTCCTTTTCAGACACTTTGCTGTGCTCATTGATCAAACGCGATTATCACATATATTTACTGAATGTCAAGGAATGGTACTTCTACTAAGTGTATTAAAATATTAAAGACTGTACACGTTCAGAAAATATATACTTCGAATCATTTATCACCATTGATGAACCCCACAAAGAATATTATAGCGTTTTGGAGGTGCATGCAATTCTCGGCAGGCAGGCAAAACATGGTATAACACCGGCAGTTATCTGAATAGGCGAAAGATTAACTCGTTTCAAACAACAGATGCCTTCAGATACCTTTTCGATAGCAACTTCAGAAAGCACACCCTCATCGGTCACTAAGCTCAAACTGGTGCAACAGTGTAACTCATCCGGACTGCAAAGGTAAAAGCATTGTTTATGTTCCGGTGTGACAGTTTAACTGGTGGCAAAATTAACTGGTGATATTCCCAGATGTGTCGTAGGAGTAGCTTCAGGATCCACTGACTGCAAACCAGGAAATACGTTCCGAAAACGTTTTTTATCTACGTAATGTATCATTGTATAGATATATGCTTCTGAATGTAGTTTGCAGGCTACATCGTTAGCTGCACGATGATTCACAGGGACCTCTCCCCCCTGCAGATTAGTTTAAAGCAAGAACTGTGAGCGTGATCATGGAGGCGACTGTGTCGCTGTTCAAAACAATGTAAGACTTCAATAAATCGTCCAAATGTTCATGTTTTTCTGTCTGATTTGTGCCACGGTTGGTTTAAATGTGTTCTTACTTACATAAGGGAAATGTGTTCTTACTCACATAAGGAAACAGGCTGAGGTGTTTGACGCTCAGATGGAGCGCAAAGTGGAGACGCTGTTAGCTGTGCAGAGCGCCCAGATTAACCTGTGACACAGCTTCGTACCATCGATCACCTTTATATTCCGCTATCTTTGCCGTCGTTACCAATATTGGCTTGCCTGTCAACATTTGTATCATGTGTCGTTATTTATCAGACGTCGAGTTAACCTGAGAACAGTTTGTCATCCAGCCTGTCAGTGAAACAGTCTGGATGTTTAGGCTGAGTTACACTCCGCCCGAACACAGCGTGGAGTCAGCTGTGGCCAGGCAAATGCTCAACTTGTGATGCAATACCGTCTTTGAGATCACTACAATCTCAGTTGTTGCTCCTAAAACCCCTTAGGAGAAAAGGATGAGATGAAGAAAGATTGAGGTTTTGAGACTTGGGTGAGACAGATGGATACTGAATTGAGATTACAATAGGACAAATGAAAGTAACAGATGAGATCTCATCATTGTATCTTTTTGAGTTCATTAATGTCTTGCTTATTGCCATCCAGCTAAAATCAACAGTGAATGACTGATTGTCTTTAAATAGAATACAATTTTCCATTACTTAAAAGAGGAGAAATATCATTTCCACAGTCCTCAAAATTCTAGTCAAGTAAAAGGTATAAAAGTATTCCATAGGGAATGTACTTAAGTATCAAAAGTAAAAGTGCTCATTCTGTATGACAGATCCATGTTGAATCTCAGTTCTTGTGTGCATTCGGTCCTTAATGAATTAATCTGTAATCAATGATTACAAGTTTTTTATTTAACTCTTTTCATGCAGGAGGAATTGGCAGGCTACAGGAATAACAGAAAGGCAGCCCTACATGCAAACACGGTCAACACACGTGAGTTGGTTTATTGTCTCTTTCCCTTAATCACTCATCTGCTAGTTGAGAATACTGTTGTCTCAATGTCTGTCAAATAGCTATACTGCTGATTACCAGCTATTTCCTATGAAATAGTGGAAAAAAGCTGCAACTCAAAAGGAAGGAGATGGCAGTGAATGAATGTGTGTGAATGTTAGTTTCTGTTTGAGCATGGTGAATGCAGATGTAGTGTGCTTTGAAAAAGCGCTTTGAGTGGTCGAAAAGACTAGAAAGGTGCTATACAAATACGGAGCATTTATATATAGTAGAAATGATGTGATAAACCATGACATGGTTCTGTGTGTCCACACTAACTTGTCAGGTGGCTGCAATTGGACCGGTGCAGTCCTGGAATGCACACAGGATCCAAGGTTTGTTGTAATTTCATAATTTCCCTTATAAGCTCCCTAAAGATATACTTCTGTCAAGGTGCATTGATATGGATGATGATGATGATAAGTAACTGAAGTCTTGTGATTAGTTTTGATTTGCTTATTTTATTTAGGCAAGGGTATCCCCAATCAACTGGCTTTAGGTGGATGGCCAAAAAAACTGCCTGGAGATCGTTTGCCAGAGGCTGCAGACTGCTATGGCCAGTGTGTCACTATTTGGCCGAAACCCATTTTCCACAGTGGATCACCAGGCAGCAGCTGAACAAGGATTTGCACGGCACAATTTAAACATTTCAAAACTCTTTGACAGTGCTGTTAACCATGAACCAAGGCCTTTTCAAAACTGAATTAAGGACCTTATAGACATCGTAAGAAGACATGTTTAGAGAGCAGTATGTGCATAGTGTAATAAGTTAAGACCTGCACCTCATCAACAAGCATCTCAAGTTTCTGTACAATTCTTTTTGTTGGTTTCTTGCTCGGGTTTTTGATGTGATTCTCTATAACACACATTTAAACCTATTTTCTTACTTTTGAATAAATGTCTGTCAACTGGATACTTAAATGCGTGTTTAAACACAAGTAGCAGGCATAAGTATACAGATACGTGATTTCAATATTCAAAACTTTTCAACTTATCAACCCTTATTTTATTTCTCCCTTCAACTTTTATTATGAAGACCTCAGTGGCGTCGTTAGCCCTGGGCATCCTTTTTTTGAAAAGCCCCTGATCTCAGAAGGGTTTTTAAAAATCAAACAACAAAAGGTCGAAAATTGAACTTTACTCGCTTAACTAATGTTAGGCTACGTGCGAGGGAGCGAGCAAGAGAGAGAGAGATTATTATTATTATTTATTCTCCTGCAAATTAGCGGAGAATAAGATGATCCAGCTGTAGCTCTATGTCTGTCCTCTCTGCTCCACCTGAAGCAGCTGTGAGCTGCAATTTATCAGAATTAATTTGTGTGGATTTGTGGTGAGGTTCATCACCTTGCCCCCCCCCCCCTTTCCTAATGTAAAGTTTTATTTCGCATTGCCTTCCTGGCTCCAGCGATTTCGGAGCTGGCTCATATAGGAGGCAGTTTACTAAGTGACCAGTCAATCACTCACACACTCCACATCAGTCGCGGACAAAATGTAGCCTATAGAAATGTTGAGGGAGAAAAAAAGAAGTTTTAGCTGAAGGCAGCAGTGATGATGTCTGCAGCAGGGGTGGGTACATCTAATGTAGGCCTACTCTTAATTTCGCGACATTTTCCATTCATACCTTTTATAACTTAACCAGTCTGTAATCTGCATTTTGCTTCATCAACCGAAATGAGCTCATCCAGGCAGTGTAAAGCGCTGGTCGGGCGCTTGTCACAGTCACAGAGCTGGGCAGATGCAAACATTTAGAAAATCAGGCAAATGTCTTTTCAGTTTAAGGCATTATGTTCTACTAATACAACTGAAATCTAGTGAGCGCACACCGTGGCACTGTTGACCGTGTTGGAAAGCAACCTGCGTCACTCTTGAACAAGCCGGCAAGTGAAAAACTTTCACCTTCCATAAGGGCGCATTAAAAGCGTCTTTAGTCTCTGCAGAGCAAATGAAGACTACACACTGTACGATCTATGTCAGACGATCACTGCACTGATTGAGATATATTAAAGGTGTCCTGTTGTTGAACAGAGCATGGCTTTGGACATTAGCCGGTTACTATTTGTTTTATAGCGATGACCGATGGTGAGTCCATAAACAGAATGTCGCCGGTGAAACTAATCTTTCACTCAGCAGCTACCAGCTGTTATTTATTTTTGAGATGCACAGAGAGAGAGCGAGAGAGAGCGAGAGAGAGAGAGAGAATATGGTGGATAAAATAGTTCTGTTGGGTTTTATGCATGACACACAGCTTCCTCTGTATGCAGGTTTACCTGCTTCAACAATAGCTGCTCTCCTGTTACTGCCACAATAATTCTTTGCATTGTGAAGATTTTTTAGATGCTTCAGGAATAATGAGATTGTATTGGCAGCCTGTGCTACTTCAAAACAAGTGGTTAGGTTGGCTACATCTCCATAATAAAAGGCACAGGTAACAAGTCCATTTTTACTCTGATAGCCTATCTTGACCTTTCCTCATGTGGACACACAGGGGCAGTGATCCTGTACAACAAAACACGCAACAATTAAATCCCCACACTACCGTGGATAGTAGTGGTGCAACAGGTTGCAGAATCCATGGTATGGATCCCTTCCACACGGTGCGGCACGCAGGTGGAACACGGATTGATTGCAAAGTCTATAATGATTTATCCTGTTTGACCACTCAAAATACCCTTTATTCTGGAAATGTCAGAGAACCCAGTTAGATTCTGAATGTGCAGAACTTTGAACATGAGCAGAAAACCTGCTGAAACACAGGAGCTATTAAAGTCCAGTAGTTTGTAACTGAATTAAAATAATTTCATTTATTATTGAAGAGGTAAAAAGTTGCCACATGCACATTTAAAGAGGTTACCTCAATCAGTCATGTCTGTGTGTGTTGATTCAGCAGTAATGATATTAAAAGTTGATCTACAGGAGAAACATATGTGAAAGCTGCTCTGCATTATATTCTGTTACAGTTTTAGATTTTAAATTGTTTTATTATACCTTTATTAAACCAAAAAACTATTTTTCCAAGAGTGTCCTGGCCAAGGCAGACAGTAGTACAATTGCACATTTAAGATGGAAATAAATAATCAGTTACAAGGTCATAAAATATCAAAATGTTCTTAAATAGTCACCACAATTCAGCAGCACCTGAATTTTGTGTTCCCTTTACATAAATAATTTCCACAATATATTGATGCAGAAAAACACCAGAATGCAGGAAATTAAGTGTTTAACACTCACAATTTTCTGGGAGACTGCCCCCAGACCCCCCGGTACATACTGTCGCAGTTTTGTTGTTATATTTTTATAATTAGACACGACATTACAATTTAGCAACATCAAAATTAGACAGTTAATAGCGTTGTTGTGAGTTTTGTTGTGCTGTATAAGTGGATGTTTTCTGTTGCTTTACTGCTTTACAGACTTAGCTTTGGGGGTGGGGGGGGGGGGTCAATTATTATGTGAAGATATGAAGTTTTATGGGCTGGGCTTAGCCCCAAATGTTTCAAGATCCTAAAAACGCCCCTGGCCGCAGTCATCAGAAACGGACATCGCTTTATGTGACGCTGTGGAGGAAAGGACGTCTCATGTCTGTAAAAACATTTTTCCTCATTCCTTCTCTTATTGCTTGGTTGGAAAAGACGCAAG